CTGTGCCGGTGCCAGCCCAGCTCTGGGCACTCGGGATCGTGGTTGCTCCAGGGAGCACAAGCCATGGCAGTGTCCCCTCCCTCCGGCCACATTCCCGGCTGGCAGCAGGAGCCGGAGGATCCCTGCAGAGGGGCCAAGGAAGCTCGGGGTTCACGATGCTGTTTATTGATATCAGACTGCAGTGAGATACAGGCAGCAGGTGCCACGGGGAATTCTGCGTTCACAGCTATTTTAGGAAGGCTCCATTTACGGTAACAGTGCTCTAGGACCCGTGAGGGAGCAGAAAAGCCACGCTCCAATGTGCTCCCTGCACAGCATCCCTTGCACATGGCCCTTGGCACTGCCCCTGCTCTCTTCTCCTGCAGGAATAAATGTGGGGGGGTGATCCTGTGGATATTTATTAATCCCGTGACTCAGGGAACCCCTCATCCACTGCCCCATGGTCCTACATCGGTGCAGTTGAAGGGTTCAAGAGGCTCAGATCACTGTGTCCATGTTGGCATCATTCCTGCAGGCACTGTTTTCTTCTGGGTCCTCAAAGATCCTCTGGAGGCAGTCCCTGAGGGATTCCATGGAGCAGAGCCTCCAGCACTTTGTTACTGAGAAGTAGATGAAGGGGTTGATGCTGCTGTGCAAGCAGGCAAACAGGAGAACAACGTGGGGGGACACAGTGATGTAGCCGAGCTGCTGCAGGAAATTCCAGACACTGACGGGGAGAGCAAAGAGCATAACAATGAAGACAATAATGTCAAGCTTCTTGACTTGGTGCTGCTGGGGCCTACCCTTGAAATGAATGAAGAGGATTGTGCTGGAAATGACCACGGATGGAGCAAATACGAGGAAGTTGAGGATGTACAGGGAGATGAGAGCCCGCTGGCAGTGCTTGTGTTCCTGAGACTGGCACAGGGAAGTCACGGCGGAAAGGGCAGCGATGACAGTGATGGAAAGAGCCCAGAGCACGGCACTCACCACCACCCATGACAGGTCCTGGGGAAGGTGGAAGAAGCAATCATGTGGGCAGAGGATGGCCCTGCACCTCTCAATGCTGATGGCCGTCAGCCGGTACAGCCCTACACTGTAGAACATCACGAAGAGGAGGAAAAGGAACCTTATGTACCCTGGGAGGATAAAGAGAGAGCAGGACACATCCTCCAGCAGGAAGAGCAGAGTGGAGGGGAGCATGAAGATGAGGAAGAGGAAGTTGATGATGGCCAGGTCAAGGATGTAGGCAGTGATGGGTTTCATGGTTTCCCTCTTCAGGTGGAACCCAAGGACCCAGATGACAGCCCCGTT